TTGGGGGATAAATGGGGATAAAATAGCCACTAAGGGCTTCTCATCAAGCAATTGCCCCTTTTTTAGTTGGCTTAAGGGGAGAAAGATAAAGTGTGTTACAAGGGGGTTGTGGGGATAGTAGGGATAGTGGTTGGAATGCATGTTAAACCACTTGAGACATTAGTTTGGCTCCTGCTGGGCTGTGTCGCTCCTTATTCTGCGTCCGGCTTGGGTCTAAGCCCAAGCTCCACATTGCTCTAGTCGGTGGGGTACCCTCCTCCTCACGTTAGGCCACCGGTATGCTAAAATGGTGTCAGACTCCGTCTGACACCATTTTGCGTGCAGGTGCTAGATACGGGGAGTTGGTGCTCGTGGGATTGTACCGGACCCTCGTTTCGTAACGCAACGGGCTTGGAGTTTGGCTCCAAATTCAGGTGCACTACAATAACATTCCTAGCTTGATTCACTCCAACATGTTTGGCTCTGCACGAAGCAAAAAACTTCGGAAACAAATGCTAAATTGCATCACTGACTCAGATGGCCCTTGGCAAAGACAATGCAATTGTTGGAAGGCATCATCACAATTGTCGGCATATTCAAAGGCACGTTTGAAAACGTACAAGAGAACACTCTAATCCCCACAAGTGGCTGTGCTCAAACCATTGTACCACTGCAATGCCGTCCCTTGGAAACATATGGGAAACTCACACAAATGTCAAGTATCATCCCAAGAATGGTATGTGGCAATCATGGTGAAGTGATCGAACCAATGGTACACATTTCTAGGATTCCCACGAAAAAACTCCGGCTGAACGTGAGAATTGGCACCAAAAGTAGGAGGAGTTGTACCACATGCCGTGAATGTTGCCATCAACTAAGTTTAGTTGTTCAATTGCAAGCGCATAGCATCAAACAATTATACCAACTATTGCTCTAGAGTCAAAGGAGGAGATTGCTGATTTACCATGAAGATGAATGAAAAAGAAAGAGCAAAAGAAGAGAAATGACAAAAAGCTAGAAGGAAATGGTGGATTTAAACAATGCAAAAAGCTAAATCTAAACTAAAATCCTAAAAGGAAAGAACAAAATAAAAGAAAATGGAAAAAGCTAAATCTAGACGATGCAAAGATTATATTTAAACCAAAATTCTAAATCTAAACACTCCTTAGGGACAATCAAAGGTGCCCCTCACCTCCACCAATGTGAGTGCTTGGAATATGAATATAGAAAATATGCATATCAATTAGCCTAAAAAACCCTAGTTTATATACAAGAGCAAGAGGTCTGGATTGAAACTAATCTAAGGTTACAAAAATCCCATTATGCTAATATTAGTATATGGCATCGTAGCTGTACACTTGACCTTATACATACATACATACATACATACATACATATGTATATAACATACATATGTACATACATACATATGTACATACATATGTATATATATATATGTATATACATATATATATATGTATATGTACATATATATATGTATATATATATGTATATATGTATATGTATATATGTATATGTATATATGTATATGTACATATGTATATGTATATATATATGTATATATGTATATGAATATATGAATATGGACATAAGGATATGTATAAAAAATATGTAAATAAGGAAAAAAAAAATAAAAGGAAAAATGGGAAAAGGAAAAAAAAAAAAAGGGGGAAAAGGAAAAGGGAAAAAAGGAAAAGGGAAAAAAAAAAAAGGGGGGAAAGGGAAAAAAAAAAAAAGGGAAAGGGGAAAAAAAAAAAAAGGGGAAAAAGGGGAAAAAAAT